AAAAATAAGTTTTGAAATTCAAAAACTTGAGATTCAAGAGAGGTTCTTTCAGTAATCTTACCTCGAATCCTTCTCTTGACGTTAAAAACTTCTTCAAATCTTTCCTTGGTTCAAGATCCGTTTGATTTGGGACAAAAATGGGAGAGAGAGAGAGAGAGAGAGATAGCGAGAGTGAAAGAGAGAGAGAGAAAGTGCACGGGAAGGAATAGGAAAGGAAGAAAAGAAAAGAAAAGGAAAAAGAAAAGGAAAGGAAAAAGAAAAAGAAAAGGACATGTGCACAATATTTTAAAAGAGCAGTCTAGAAATGCGCCCATACACACTTCTGGGTTAAAATAAATTACTGAGAATAATTTAAATACCTTGAAACTATTTAAACTCACACGTGTCAGAAACATTTATTAATTAATACTCAATTAATAATCCAGATTAAGCACACTAATAATCTCAATTACCTTAATTATTCTCATTTAATTCTTCAGGGTGTTACATAAGGACTACATGTACAAATTATCTGAAAGCACATGACATGATCGATGATAATGTAAAAAATGACATGTCGTCTTGCTTTTGAGAGGACTTTTCAGAATTTTTTTCTTGAAAAATTGAGTTGAGCGGCATTTTTAACCACTGCATTTTTTAACCACCTCTTTTCACAAATGGCTGAATTTTTTTTATTTTACAAAAATGGTCGTTATGTTTACATAAATCAATCAGCAATTGACCTATAGACTATAGTCTATCAGCGCAGTCAATCAGTGATTGACCGATTCATTATTAATTTATCAATAATTTATTATTAATAAACATATAATTTGTTGATTGAAACAAATAAATTACAACTTAATTTTGGTTCATTATTAACTAATGTTGATTAATAATAAAAAATGATTGAGTCAATTGATTAACTGTTGAGTCTATCAATGATTGACCGTTAAATCTATCAGTGATTGACAACTAAATTAATAAAATAGTCATTTTTACAATTTTACAAAACTTCAACGATTCAGGAAAAACATCCTAAAAAGGTTATTTGTGTTAAAATTCCTTTTTTCTATTAATAAAGTGCAGCATGCTTTATCGTTTAAGTACCTTTTTAATGGATTTTTTATATTTTATATTTTATATTTTTGTCGTTGAAATACTTTTGTATAAGTGTTTCGCCGTTTAAATGTTTATTAGTTTTGTTTATTGTTGCTATTTAGTTAAAAGTTTTAATAAAAACTCATTATACATCTTGTTCTGTTTTATATTTTAATGCATGATGCTATTTCAAATCTTATATCTTTGACTCTTGAAAAAAAAAAAATTTAAAAATATAGAACAGTTTTAGCAGGATAAACAAATTCTTTGCTCGTGTGTGCAATTTTGAATTGTAAACCTTTATTACTGTTCGCCAGATTTTGATATTTGTATAAAATATGATATAATTGTGACATTTAGAATGAGAATTTTTTGTTAGGTATGAAAAAGGGGGGGAAAAGCGTAAGAGTATGTTGTTGTTTTGAATTGTCAAAATAATCATTAAACTCCACCACATTAGCATAGGCATAAAAGATCCTATTTTGAATTGTGTCGGATCCTCGGAGAATATTTCCAAGGAAGAACGAAATATATTTTCTACATTGGAATATCTCTGACGAATGACGTTTGAAATTCAAAGTCGATTCAAACAATTTTTTAGTTCGTCTCTAAGAAAAACAAAATTGTATATGATATAGCTTTTCTTTTTATTATTATTAAATCTAAATACATAGTAACAAATTCAAATAGGAGATATGATTATTTACCATCCCATTGAATTAAATAGAAGATGGTATTTTCATTCACCAATAATCTGAACAAGAACAAATGCCATGTTTAAAATGGTGAAAGCGCTTGTTGTCTCTCACTATTATCTCCCTTTCAACAGCCTTTGATATGAGCTTGGCTGCATTGTGACAGTCTAAACAAATCCGAAGATTCTTGGAGACTCTTATTGTCGACCCTTTACTCATCTTCAACAATCCGAAAGATATAGCAAGCTTCTCACTGTGCCCTCTCAATTTCTCAATCTTCTCTTCTTCTTCGAGTTCATGAAGCACACAACTCGTATTCGGTTTATATCCGAGCTTACTTATCTTTTTCTCTACTCTTTTCCACATCTCCGCAATCTCCACATATTCAGGATGCATATTGTCCCCGGCGAGAAAGCTATAAACCTTCCCCCCGAGTTCAATCCAGCTCTGACCGGCGTCTTTTTGCAGGCCAAACGCCTTCATCCTTTGCCTAACTCTCTTCACATCATCCCATTTCTCTGACCCCGCATACAAATTTGACACCAACACATAGTTCTCTGCCTTTTCAGGCTCTAAGTCTAGCAACTTCTTACCAATTATCTCTCCCATTTCCAAATTGCCGTGGCTCCTACAGGAGCTAAGCAATGAGCTCCAGATTCTAGTGTCTGGTTCTTCGGGCATGTCGTTTACAAGCTTCAGAGCTTCCTCCAATTGGCCCGCTCGACCTAACATGTCCACTGCACATGCATAGTGCTCTAATTTGGGTTCTATTCGATACAAACCCTGCATCTCATTGAGATATTTTAGCCCCACAGAAACCATCCCCACATGATTGCACGCCATCAGAATTCCAATAAATGTAAACCCATCAGGCTTCAATCCCAATCTTTGCATTTCTTCAAATAGCTCCAACACCTTGTTCGCATTTCCGTTGATTCCATGTCCTGCAATTACAACATTCCACAATGCTAGGTCTTTATCCTTCAAATTATCGAAAACTGTTTGAGCCTGTTCCATGCAGCCACTTTTTGCATACATGTCTAAGACAGAACATTCAACGAACATGTCGTCTACAAGGTTAGCTTTCAAAGCAAAGCAATGTAGTTCTTTTCCCAGACGCAAGGCTGACAGTTGTGAACAGGCCTCAAACACACTTGTAATGGCAATCTCATAAGGTCGGACTCCATCGGAAATCATTTCACGAAAGAGATGAAGAGCTTCATCAGGAAGTCCAAGCTGAGAGTAACCAGAAAGCATTGTATTCCAACATACTAAACTTTTGCCTTCCATTCTGTAGAATAACTCACATGCAGAAAATATCTTACCACAATGAATGTAAAGAGATATCAGAGAGATAGCAATGAATGAATCCCTTTCTAACCCATTACGTAGTACGCATGCGTGGATCTGCTTGCCATACTGCAGAAGTTTCAAATGGGCACAAGCTAAAAAAAGGCTACCGATGCTAAAATAGTCAGGATCCAAGCCTGAATCTTTCATTTCAAAGTAAAAGTCTAAAGCCATCCTTGGATCACCATTCTGTGCCAATCCGCCAATTAGAGCATTAAAAGAGCTCACTGTCTTTTTCTCTATGCCAAAAAACACATGTTGAGCATAATGCAGTGATCCGCACTTCGTGTAGGCTGAAACAAAAGCATTTGCAACCAATTCATCATCGTGAAAACCATGTTTGAATGAATAACCATGAATTTCCTTCAAGCTCACCAGCTCATCCTCCTCTAAACAAGCTGGCAACACATTCAGTATCGTGACCTCGTTCACTTTCACATTCTCGTCTTCTTCCATCTGCATTCTCCGCAGAAGATCAAATGTTCCACTAACATCCCCTTCCCTAGAGAAACCTCCAATCATGGAATTCCACGTAACCACATTTCTATTATTGTTCTTACCAAATAGAAATACGGCATCTGATAAGTATCCACACTTTGCATACATGTCCATCAAGGCATTGCTCACCATCAACTCCTCACTCAGCCCCAACTTCACCACCAAAGCATGAATCGCGATTCCCATATCTATATCCCCCTCAGCAGCGCACACTGGTAACAAAGTCACTACGGTAGCATCATCCGGCAGCAAACCCACCACCAAAATCTCCCTCAACAAGCCATAACTCTCTATACACAAACCATTCTCCGAGAACCCGCGAATCATCGAGTTCCAAGAAACCAAGTTCCTCTCAGGCATTTTCTCGAACACACGAACCGCGTCCTCCAAAAACCCGCACTTCCCATACATCCCAACCAGCGCATTGCCCACAAAAACATCCGACACCAGCGCCATCTTCACCGCCATCCCATGAACCTCCCGCCCCAACCCGACGTCCAAAAGCCCCGAACAGGCCTTAATCACACAAGGCAAAGTGAAACTATCGGGTTGAAATTCAGTCTCCGAAACCAACCCAACAAACGTTTTCACCGCATCATGATAAAGCTCATTTCTAGCGTACGCGCTAACGAGGGCATTCCACATAAACAAGTTGTTCCTCTCGAGTCCATCGAAGACGGAACGGGAATCCAAAGGAGACCCGCACAAGGAGTACATGGTGATGAGACGGGTGTTGAGAACGAAGTCATTGCGAAACTGGGTCAATTCCAGAATCATGTGATGAACTTTGCGTCCGATTTCGATGTCTTTGTGTCTCCCACAGACTTGTAACAAGACCCCAATGGCGTCTTTCCTCTCCGGAGCTGAAACGCTGACATTTTGAGAGTCGTTTTGGAGGAAGGCTAGAGCTTCGGGGAGATTCCCGGATTCGCAGAGGTTGGTTATGTGTTGGAGAAAAGGTTGTTGGAGTTGCAGAGAGTTTGTTGGTTTCTGGGTTTGTGCGGTGGAGAAAGGTAGAGGGGCTTTTGGTGGGGGGATTGAGTTATGAGAGCGTTTGGTTGAGTAAGTTGGAGGAGGTTGGTTATGGCGGTAGTGGCATGAAACTGGTGGCGTCACCGACACCGACGCCATTTTTGTTTGTTTGTGAGATTTACTGAGGTAGTTGCCTTTAGTCTGTTATCCGCAGTCACGCCAGCGTTGTTGAGAGGTATACCCGGCAGTGCACGGTTCGTTATGTTGGTTTGTTTCTTCTACGCCTGTGAGTAAGCTAATATACTGAGAGTATTTTTTTTGCTTTAGTTCGCTAATTTTAGCTTTTAATTTGAGTTGATATGTGATTTTATATGAGAAATTTTTAGTATAGTAAAAAAATTAAATGTGATTATTTTTAAGAGCTTTTTATTATAATAAAATTTAAATTTTAAACTCGAATGAATGAAATAAACGAAACTTGTCTATAATTAACAAATATCCAAACGTCACATGACGATCTTACTGGAACTGTTCAATTGGTGCTACTATAGACTAGATGACCAAAGCATGGGCCAAATTTCTTTTCCGACAAATTTGTAAAGGTGATCTTTGGACTAGGGGCGTAAAAATACCATTAATTTTTTTATTTAAAAAATAAAAAAAACAAAAAAAAAAAAATCTGATCATGGTCTATTGTCACGTCCTTATCTTGGCGCTGAGCCTCAACGGGACGGAACATGCGAAGGCGCAGCATAGTTGGCTGGAGGACGACTCCAATGGTGAGTGCATGAGTTTTTCAAAGAGTATAGGAGGAAGTTGTACAAGAAGGCGTTAGGCCTCCCCTACACAAACTGATCGGGGACTGGAGCTTGTGAGGTGGCTTGCCTTAGTAATAAGGGGCGCCAACGGGTTATTACTAAGCCTCTCCATGGTGTGAGTGCCGAGGTTTAGCCCCGGCCCGTGTCACTATGCTCCATAGTCCACTGGATACCACTGATTTCCTTTTCTTATTTTGGCATGTAAAATTTATATTAGTTAGTTAAAAATGGATAGTAGTAGATATAGTACTACTGCTCTTTTAACCCAAAATGATTCAAGTTTCTTCTTGGGGGGAGCTATACATCCTCTTTTTGCAGGTTAGATCTAATACCGTCGCGAGTAGTGCTGGAACTTTAGACGGGCCGCCCGCGACCGCTCGAAAATATCGATTTTTTGCCCAAAGCCCGACCCGACTAGCCCAAAAAATTCGGGCCGCCCGCCCGAGCCCAAAAATGCCATTGAACGGGCCGCGGGCTTATATTTGGCTACCTGAGCCCGCCCGAATAGCCCGAATTTTTTTTATTTTTAAATTTTTATAATTATTAAGTTATTTTGTGTTAAAATTATATAAAAACCAAAATCAACATTCAACAGACATTATTAACACAATTTAATAAATTAATCATGTATATTAATTTTTAAATTCGTAATTCATGATTGCTTCGTTAAAAACTTTACCAAGAAAAACTCAATTGGGATAAAAACTTGGCAAGGAAAAAAGAGTGCAATCATTTTGTGACGAATTATAAATTTTACAAACTTACAAAGTTATACAATTACAATGTCAAAAGTAAATACATATTTACAAATTACAAATTTACAATTTAATTTGAAGCTGAAGGATCGTCTTCAAAATTAAATGTTAATCGATTAATCCTTAATGCAGACATTGATCGGCTCGATCCCAATCCTTAATACAGACCAAGGCTTCGACAATGTCCCTTTACATTGCATTCCGAAGTTCCTCAAGTATTTTTCCTATCGTATTGAAGGCTTGTTCGGATGAAATAGTGGAGACTGGGATCAAAAATATATCCATTGCCAATCGAGTTAGGATTGACAAAGTTAATGCCCGTGCCCTCCACCATTGAACTAAGTCAAACGATTATCTAGTATCGTTGACTACTAAGCCTGCACTGAGGTACGCCATAAGCTCATTGAAGCTGCCGCCGCCGCTGCCACTGCCACTTGTTGACGAAGATCCACTCCCAACTTCTGTTTGAGTTGTCTTCTTCTTCTTCTTTAACCCGAAAACATTCAAGAATGAATGCGGGTTTTCGTCTTGTTATTGCGGTTCCTGTACTCTAGAGTTTGTGCTTCTAAACCTAATCTTATATTTACTATAGATCGAATATATTTTTTCCTTTATTATTGAAAATTGGTCCGAACAATTAATGCCTAAAAATTCACCTAAGTTTTCTAAACCACTTTCTAAACCTTCTAATTTTAATCTAACAAAGGCAACTTAGACCAATATTTAATAAATTTCTTTTCCATAGAATGGACAAGAACTCCTAAGATTGGGTCCTCCCTATAGTCGCTAAATAAAATACTAATTAGTAAAAGTTCACCTAAAGCTAAAGGTGATGTTGGGTAATATGTTCTACTAAATTTTAGAGTAACTTCATGAAACCTACTTAAAAATTGATGCAAAACTTCGGCAATTTACCAATCATATGCGTCTATA